GGGGGGGTGTCTGCCTCGGTGGGTGCTGGGGGGGAGTGGGGGTCTGTGCCTGCCTTGGTGGGTGCCCAGGGTGGGTGCTGGGGGGCTGTGCCTGCCTCGGTGGGTGCTGGGGGGCGTGTCCAGCATTGGGCACAGAGGGGCTTCTGCTCAGAGCACCCAGAAAGCCTGTGTCGGGCGCCGGGCTCTGCCGTCTCAAGTTCGTCCTGTTCTCTGGCCATGAAGTCTCCCCTCTGGGGCCTGTTAGTTACCAGGGCAGAGGCGGAGCTGGCGCAGGTTGAAGCGGCGGTTTCCTGGCTGGCTTCCCTGGGAATCCGGTGGTGCTCCCCGGCCCAGCCAGGCCGGAGCACCCGGTGCTGTGAGGGGAGGGTGTGGCTGGGCTCGTGGGTGCTGAGCTGGGTGCTGGCGCCCTGCGTCTGCCCTGTTTCCCGGGGGGCCGGGGGGCCGGCACGCTGCCTCACGTGACCCTCGCTTCCGCACAGCCTATGCCCTGGCCCGAGTCTACAGGGTGGAGGGCGACCTCTCAGAAGTGGCACGCCGGGGCTCGGGCAGCGCCTGCCGGAGCCTGTACGGGGGTTTTGTGGAGTGGCAGATGGGGGAGCAGGCGGACGGCAAGGACAGTATCGCCCGGCAGCTGGCCCCCGAGGGGCACTGGCCCCAGCTCCGAGTCCTCGTCCTCGTGGTAAGGGGCCTGGGTGTGGCCCGGCAGGTGGCTGTCTGTCCAGCCGTTAGGGCCAGGACTGAGGAGGGGGAGATGGCCCCACAGGGCTCAGTGGTCAGGAGTCTCCCCCAAAGTCAGAAGGCCCTGACTCCGCCCCCAGCTGTCAGAACGGGGAGGGCCCATACGTGGGCTGGGGCGGCTCCCTGCAGCCAGCCGGCACTGTCTCATGTCCAGGTGAGTGCTGAGAGGAAGCCGACAGGCAGCACGGTGGGCATGCAGACCAGCGTGGAGACCAGCGCCCTGCTCAAGGTAGGAGATTGCCAGGCTCCGCCCTTGCGCTCTGGCCGGGCCTCTGACGTGGGACCCAAGCTGTAATGAGCATGGCCCCTGGAAAACGGCTGCGCCTTGCAGTTCCGGGCCGAGTCGGTGGTGCCGGCGCGCATGAGGGAGATGGCCCGCTGCATCCAGGACCGCGACTTCCAGCGCTTTGCCCAGCTGACCATGAAGGACAGCAACCAGTTCCACGCCACCTGCCTGGACACCTTCCCGCCCATATCCTACCTCAATGACACCTCCAGGCGCATTATCCAGCTGGTGCATGCCTTCAACGCCTACTGTGGGCAGACCAAGGTACTGCGTCGCGGAGGGCACCGGCAGGCTGTGGGCGGGGCCCTGGAAGGCATGGGCCTGCACCCTGCCACTCATAAACTGGAGGCTGTGGAGCAGGCCTGCGTTCTGTCAACAGATCGCTGGTGTCCTGAGCACAGCACATGCGCCCTTCCCACACTGCCAGCGCAGCCCTGGACAGTTTCTTCTGCCGGCTTTTGCATTATTATTATTAAGTAGCTTTATAAGGACATTAGACACACTGTGCAACTTGGTCAATTCTGTGGTGGTTTGTTTTGTTTTTGGTCATGGGATTTGAACTCTGGTCTGGGCACTGTCGGTCATGGGGTTTGAACTCTGGGTCTGGGCGCTGTCCCTCATCTCTTCAGCTCAAGGCGAGAGCTCTACCACTTGAGTCACAGCGCCACTTCAGGTTTTCTGGTGGTTTGTTGGAGATAAGAGTCTCACAGTCAGCCGGGTGCTGGTGGCTCACGCCTGTAATCCTAGCTACTCAGGAGGCTGAGATCTGAGGATCGAGGTTCAAAGCCAGCCCGGGCAAGAGAGACCGTGAGACTCCTATCTCCAATAAACCACCAGAAAAACCGGAAGTGGCGCTGTGGCTCAAGTGGTAGAGCGCTCGCCTTGAGCTGAAGAGCTGAGGGACAGCGCCCAGGCCCAGAGTTCAAGCCCCACGACCGACAAAAAAAAAAAAAAAAAGAGTCTCACAGTCTTTCCTGCCTGGGCTGGTTTTGAACTGCGACCCTCAGGTCTCAGTCTCCTGAGTAGCTAGGATGACAGGTGTGAGCTACTGGTACCTGGCTTCTGTGGGGTTTTGTTTCCTGGCTCCATACACTGCTGCGTGACGCCCTCAGTCAAGCCTCGCTGCCTCTTCCTGGTCTGCGGGCATGGGTGCCTGGTGACGCTGCTTACTCTAGTTTGGCCATGCTGGGAGACCTCATATTCCCCTGGCAGACGGGGCTCTCAGCTGGGAATGCTGTGGGTTCCAGGTGGCGTACACATTTGACGCGGGCCCCAATGCTGTGGTCTTCACCCTGGAGGACACCGTGGCTGAGTTTGTGGCTGCTGTGAAGCACAGCTTTCCCCCTGCTGCCAACGGAGACAGGTGAGTGTGGGACCACTGCTGTGTCGCGGCCCGCCTGGAAGCCACAGGTGCGCCTGCGCCCAGGCTCTCTTCCTCCAAGAGTCAGAACCCCTGCGCCCCCCCCCAACGATTTTAGTGTTCCTTAGGAAATGCACATAGTGTGAGGAGTGCCTGGCCTGTCTCTACTGAGCTCTGTCTCTATCTCCGCTGAGCTCCCTCTCTGTCTCTATCTCCGCTGAGCTCTCTCTGTCTCTATCTCTGCTGAGCTCTCTCTGTCTCTATCTCCCCTGAGCTCCCTCTCTGTCTCTATCTCCCCTGAGCTCCCTCTCTGTCTCTATCTCCGCTGAGCTCTCTCTCTGTCTCTATCTCCGCTGAGCTCCCTCTCTGTCTCTATCTCCGCTGAGCTCCCTCTCTGTCTCTATCTCTGCTGAGCTCTCTCTGTCTCTATCTCCGCTGAGCTCCCTCTCTGTCTCTATCTCCGCTGAGCTCTCTCTCTGTCTCTATCTCCGCTGAGCTCTCTCTCTGTCTCTATCTCTGCTGAGCTCCCTCTCTGTCTCTATCTCTGCTGAGCTCTCTCTCTGTCTCTATCTCCGCTGAGCTCTCTCTGTCTCTATCTCCCCTGAGCTCCCTCTCTCTCTCTGTCTCTATCTCTGCTGAGCTCTCTCTGTCTCTATCTCCGCTGAGCTCTCTCTGCCTCTGCCTCTTTCTCTGCAAGCCGTGTTAGTGTAGCACGCGCCCGGAGTCACAGTGCCCTGCCTCGTTTTGTGCCAGGTTTCTGAAGGGCTTGCCGGTGACGCCGGTCCCCCTCTCTGATGAGCTGAAAGCCGCACTGGCTGGGGACCCCACCCCTGGGGGTGTGCAGTACGTCATCGTCACTCAGGTGAGGCCCGGGGCACCCTGCCCACCTGTGTGTCTTGGAGGTTTGCCCCTGCACCCTGCGCGCCTCAGGCAGGCGATGGGATGCTGACAGGGCGGCAGCACGCTGCCCTGTCCACGTGGAGCTGTGGAGGGACATGGACAGTGCTGTGGCAGGAGCTTCGGGGCGGGTCTGGAGTTGTCGGGCACAGCCGTGCCATCGTGGCAGGCAGGCCCCTGCGTCCTGCCCTGTCCTGCAGAGTGGCCCATTCCAAGCGCTCACGCCCGCCCAGGCCACGGCCCCTGCTCCCCACACCAGGCTGTGTGCTTGGGGCTGCTGCTCCTCTATCTCTGCGGCCTGCGGTGCACCCCAGGGCCAGGGCGCAGGCCCTTGGCTGGCTGCGTCCTCTCAGCCTGGATAAGCAGGGTATGGGTATCACCGTCCAGGTGGGTGCGCTAACTTATCCTGCTGAAGACCCTCGGCCCCTCCAGGTCGAGGAAGCTGCGGGCAGGGCCACTGCTGTCGCCTGATGATTGACGCTGCTTTCTCTCCCTCCAGGTGGGGCCTGGGCCTCAAGTCCTAGACGACCCTCATGCTCACCTCTTGGGATCGGATGGCCTCCCAAAGCAGGCCTCTTGACCTGCCCCCCCAGACTCCATCTTCCGCCCCCCCTGGTCCCCCAGCCTGGGGACCACAGGGCTACTGTGACAGAGTGCTATGCTGTGCTGTGCTGTGGGGCCCAGTGGGGCTCACTGGCTTCTCCAGGCTGGAATCAGCCTGGTGGTATCCAGGGGCCCAGGAAGTGCCTCAGTTTTCCTAGTACTTCACAAGATGGGCGTTGGGGCCCAGACAGCGGTGAGGGGCCCTCTCCGTGTTCCCCAGCAAGCTTACCAGGGAGTCACTGCCTCCCGAGCAGTGTGTGCTACGTGAGCCCATCCTCTGTGGCCCTCAGGAAACTGGCCAAGGGCCTGGAGGACTCAGGCCAGCGGTGGGGATTGGGTGTTTCTTTATAGAAAGACAGCGGCCTCTCGTGAGGGGCGGTGCAGTGTGGGAGCTGGGCCTTGGTGGCCCACAGGAATAAACTGTTGACACAGCTGAGCTGTCTTGCTTCTTCAACCAGTGCCTAGGCCCCTGATCTGAGCGTTCCCTGTGTGACTTGCGGAGAGCAGCGAGCAGTGTGCGGCAGGGCAGACACACAGCCCTTTGTTCTCTGGCTCCCTGAGGCCGGGCTGGCCCTGGTCCTGGGGTCCAGTGTGCTCAGTCTGGTCCTGATCCACCGAGTGGCTCCCATCGAGTCGCCTGCTCTTCTCCTTCCTAACCTGCACCCAAGACTACGTCGTCCTGGGGCTGCCGCTGCCTTCCCCTCCCCACCCCAGCGTGGCTGCCAGGTGAGCCCTGGGCAGGGGATCAGCAGCTCACAGCACTTGGTTCTCTCTGCTTTCTGGGGTTTCCTGGCCTTGACTCATGTGGTCTGAGAGACCATCCCCGGCTGGCGGGCCCAGAGGGGTCCGGAGTAGGCTGGTCCTGTACCGGCCTTGGAGCCAGCACCACTGAGCCGAGGCCCAGGCGTCCCTGGGCCGTGAGCACCACCTGCCTGCCCCAGTGCTGGGCTTTGGGAAGCTCTGGAGAGGCCTGGGCCCAGGGTTACTTCCTGCCCCTGTTCTGCCCAGCTCACGTGGGCTTAGGCCGTCCCAGGGATGCCCACCACCGGGGCTTTGGGCCACCAAACCCACTCCTTGGCAGGCTGGGGGGGAGCCTGGGGAGGGCAGCCTGGGTGGGGAGCTGGGGGAGGGCAGCATGGGTGGGGAGCTGGGGGAGGGCAGCCTGGGTGGGGAGCTGGGGGAGGGCAGCCTGGGTGGGGAGCTGGGGGAGGGCAGCCTGGGTGGGGAGCTGGGGAGGGCAGCCTGGGTGGGGAGCTGGGGAGGGCAGCCTGGGTGGGGAGCTGGGGGAGGGCAGCCTGGGAGGGCAGCCTGGGTGGGGAGCTGGGGAGGGCAGCCTGGGAGGGCAGCCTGGGTGGGTTGCTGGGGAGGGCAGCCTGGGTGAAGGTTCCCAAGTGGTCCAACAGGAGTGGGGCCTCCCCTGCAGTCTTCCTTTCCCGGGGATGGGGCGGGGC